TCTGGAGAGTACTCTGGAGAGTACTCTGGAGAGTACTCTGGAGAGTAGGCAGATCTCTGTGAGTTCAAGGCCACCCTGGTCTACAAAGTGTGTTGTAGACCATTGGAGGTTACACAGGAGACCTGTCTCCATTTTCCCCCTTGGGTGAAAAGGGGTTACACACAGAAAGGAGTTTAAGGAGCTCTGGTCTAATCTTACTCATATTAAGTTGTTTTTTTAAATACTAAAATTACCCAACCAATAGCAAAGCAAAGATATTTTTTAAAAGAAACTAGTATACCATCTTTAACACAAAACAAAACACTCCCACTGACAATAAAATCTACCTTCAGTGCCTCTTAGTTTGGGCCCTAGCTAAACCACCGTAACCTTTTATATGACCATACACCAGAGTTTATGTGCTCTTCAGTGAAGCCTCTGCTTATACCTTGGGTGTTCGGAAGGCACTCTTAGCAGGTGGCAGCCTCCATGCTGAAGGGGATCTCCAAATGGGGAATGACTGTACTGGGATATCTTCATAGGGATTTTCCTTGGCTGGATCTTTAAAAATCACATAAACACTGATTAGAGGAACATAATTAAGTGGGAATGATGACTGTAGCAAAAAAAAAAAACAAACAAACAAAAAAAAAAACGATTTTCCTCTACATTCTCATGGGGATGTAAGGTGGTAAGGCCAATGGCATTTGGAATTTATACATCACTCCAATGTCCATCCAAGCTAGAGCTTTCAGAACACTACACTGAAAACATTTACTTTTCAACTGAGTCATCCATAATACTAGTTGTAAAACTCATTAATGATGAGAAAATGCACACACCAAGTGTTTCCATATGAGAACACAGTTAAAACAAGATATGTTTGATTGTAAAAGACCCCTGTACAGTGATGAACACCACAAACATGCATTAAATTTAACTCTTTCAAAGCATGAATACATACATATAATATCCTCATAGATATTATCCTCGGACTGTGTGAAATAAAGTGCTGAACCAGCATTTCTTCCAAGTTCTTCATGAATCTTCCGTGAGTTCCGAAAGTGCTGAATATCCTCAAATTCAAAGGATTTCCTTAAGAAAGAAGATATATTTTAAAGTTACACCTTCAAAAACTTTTATCTCTAAATGATAAGACAGAAATTGAAAGACTTGTGTGTAAAATTACGAAGATGACTGGTGATGGTACATGCCTTTAATACCACTAAGGAGGCAGAGGCGGGTGGGGCCAGCCAGGTCTACAGATTGAGTTTCAGGACAGCCAAAGCTACACAGAGAAACCCTGTCTCAAAAAAAATTACCCAAAATAATAAATAATGTTTTTATTTTATATGTATGTGTTCTGCTTACATGCATGACTGTGTGCCTGGTGCTCACAGATGCCAAAAGAGGGTGTCAGAGCCTCTGGAATTGGATGGTTGTGACCTGCCATGTAGGTGCTGGTAATCAAACTTGGGCCTTCTGAAGAGCATCCAGTGGTCTTACCTGGTTAGCCATCTCTCCAGCCCCATGAATTACTCCCTAATTAAAAGTGAGGCTGAGGCCAGCATGTCCTAAACAAAATCAAAGAACGGACCTGCTTATCAGAAAGCGCTTTTGGTGGTTGGGCAAGGGGATAAGACAATGTCTTGCTATGGAGCCCAAGCTAGTTTCTAAGTCACTATGTAGCTCAGACTAGCCTCAAAATTGTGCTGATCCTCCTGCCTCAGCATTCCTGGTGATGGGAATACAGATATACACCACCCTACCCAACCTTAGAAATTCTTGAAGATGCCACTTGGAAAGTCTTCCAGTGCTTGTAGGTGTTAGAAGTCACAAGTATTACCTATATGTCACGTCTGCTTTCTCCTCCTACTTTGACTCTGTGCTATCAATATCTCTATGCTCAACTGAAGCCCATATTTCAAGGTGAGAAAGGAAACTTGGACAGAAGGGCAAAGCAGCTCAATGACTCATGTACTACAAATCACGGGCCATAAGATGAACACATACCTCTTGGACCTCCCTCTGATCTTCCCACCATATTTCTTTGGTTCAGGATCCTGAGAATAGGCCAAAGAAGAGTCTGCAGAGAAAATACTTTCACAGTACTTTTGGTCACAGTTTCTTTCTTTATATGGCACGCCATCAGATTCAGATAAATACCTGAATGTCCTACGGGGTTTGGGCAAAGGATTTATAGAGGGGCCACATTCCTGCCCCTCAGGTTCACAATAAATATTTTCCAAGCTCTTGGTTATTCCATAAGAACTATCCAGAACACTGAAATCCAGTTCTTTTTCTGTGGAGTCACAAGGTGCTAAGGCCAAATTTAAGTCTTTATCTGGGGAAAGTCCTTTTATGCTTTTCCATGGTATCTGTGAGGTATAGAAGTTTCCTGGAGGTAACGAAGCCTCCGGATCCACAGCAACAGCTTGGCAGCTTTCGATTTGTTTGACCCGAGCACATACCCGGCTGAAGTCTGGTTTAGCTTCTGAGGAGTGGGAGTCTTTACACTTCCGACTCTCGCTTTCATCCTCACTTTGATCGCGGCTCTTGGTGTCCATGTTCCTGGGTAAACCCCCATTCCTTTCCTCACCAGTGGGACGCTTATGAGGGGGACTCTCTTGGTGGCAGTTATTATACCTCACTCCAAAGTCCTTTGGGTGAAACTTAGCTGTCTTAGTTACACCGTTAGCTCTTCCTTCCCACTGAGAAATCTTTTGTTTGATGTTTTTGCAGTGACTTCTGGACAGGGTCTGAACAGCAGACCGTGTAAAGCCAACATCCATGTTCCCGGTGGGGTGCATGACAAGAGTTGCTCTTAGAAAGGTGCCATGACAAGTTAGCTGGAGAATGCTGTGTTCTTTGCCTTGTCAGAACTGAAGCGATCCCAGTGTTTTCCTTTCATGTTTAACTTGGAGGCATCTTGTCTAAAATAACAATTTTCATCACTGAACTTTGTTGGAAACAGCTACAACAGTATCATGAATGGTCCTATCAAAACAAGACAAGAATACTAACTTAGTTTTATGATTTCTTACTTTAAACTCCACTGAACACTGCCTACCCAGCACTAAAAAATTTACATCGCATTTGTAAAAACTGTGCCTGTAATTCAGCTCCATGAAGCCACTAAGAAAATATTCCTGGTGCTATTTCTCAAGCTGTTAGCTTTAATACTCTGCTCTATTTAATACCCTGCAAAATATATATATTGTTTTGTAATGCATCAATTTTTTATGTGTATGTGGAACAAGACCAAACCCAGAGCTTTATGTGTGCTAGACAAACACTCTATCCCTGAGCTCTACACACCTCCGGCCCACACAGCTATTCTTTATGAAGTGTTTTCTTAATAAAACAAGAAACAATGTAATATTACAAAAATCACACATAAGGCTGAGCATAGTGGTGCACACCTTTAATCCCAGCACTCAGGAGGCAGAAGCAGAAGCAGAGGATCTCTGTGAGTTCAAGTCCTGGTCTACACAGTAAGTTCCAAGAAAGCCAGAGCTACATATGAAACCCTGTCTCGAAAACAAACAATCGAACAAACAAACACAGAATCAGAACAGCACCCCATTATTAAAATATATATTTACAAGTCTAGACAGGAAGCAATTCACAAACACTTGAGTAGCTAGCTCCCCTCCTGTCTTCTGTTACTAGGTGTCATCAGCCCCTCACATATCCTGACTTATTTCAGCTGACTTATTAGCGCACAGGCTTTCGCACAAGCTGCTACAGGGACTCTCCGAAGGCATAGTCCATTATCCCGTCCTGGCCGGTTTCCCACATCTCTGCCACCTTTGACTCAGCTCTGCAGCCACTTTTCTCATCCTTCCTTCCGCAGAGCTTCAGTCAGCTCCATAAACCGCTTCCTCAGATGTGAAGACTGGCAGGCTGAAATTCTTCCTGTCAGTAAGCAGAGACTGCTCTCCTGCTCTCCTGCATACTGGTTATAAATAACAACCTAATCAAAACTTCCTGAGACAGGGTCATCCTTCCTCCTGCTTCATCTGCCTAGCCCTGATTAACAAGCAGGAAACTATCTTAGCCTAGCTTTGTCAGTACAGCTGATCAAAATTGGACCAATATAGACAGGCAGAAGGACAAACAGACAGACATGTGCGTTCTCTCTCTCTCTCTCTCTCTCTCTCTCACACACACACACACACACACACACACACACACATACACTCTCACACACACACTCTCTCACACACTCTCACATACATATACACACACTCACACACACACTTTTTCTCTCACACACTCTCTCTCACACACTCTCTCTCACATACACTCTCACACACATACACTCTCTCTCATACACACACTCTCTCACACATACATACACACATTCTCTCTCACACACACTCTCACACTCTCTCACATACATATACTCTCTCACACACACTCACACACTCTCACACACATACACTCTCTCTCACACACACACACACTCTCACACACATATACATTCTCTCTCATGAACATTCTCTCTCACATACACACACACACTGTTACACACACACTCTTTCACACACACTCTCACACACACACACACACTGTCTCACACACACATACATACATACTCTCTCACACATACTCTCTCTCTTACGCTCTCTCTCTCTCTCTCTCACACACACACACACACACTCACACACACACACAATGTACTCTTGCTAGAGAAGCTGCTCTTCGGGATTTCCATGATTTTCACTTAAGCCACATCCACAAGTTTTTAAAATCATATTTCCTCCTGTATGTTCACTGTACAATGGAGTTTCCTGTGACATCTTCATACACATCTATAAAGTACTTTGATCACACTCCTCTACTCTTTCCTACTCGCACCCCCCAGCTCCCCTATTTTACTTTCATACTCTCCTTTTCCCCTCTAGCTTCCACATTAAGGAAGTCATGTGATGTTTGTCTCTGTGAGCTTTCTCACTAGTTTGTAGGAAAATTAGCTTTGCCAGAAAAGAAACTCTGGTCTAATAAAAAAAAAAAATCAGTTTTTTAAATTAAGAAATTAAGCTCATGTAGGTGAAAGATTTTATAGCAAAAACCTCACAGAATTTGTGTATGTGTCTGTGTGCATACGTGTGTGTGTATGTGTGTACATGCACACACACATTTCACCCTGGAGCCCACACTGGCCTCAAACTAGTGGCAATCTCCCTGTCCAGCCTGCACTGGATACGGACACAAGCCACTGCACCCAGCAGGAGCTCCCGATAAAATAGTAACGCTGAAGCATGACCATGCATGACAGTGCACTCAGCTCCTGGAGGCCAGGACTCCAAACACCCTTTTCTTGCTTCTGATACTTGGGAGTGCCTTTGACACTTGGGTTTTCTTCACTATAGACAGAATGGGTCTGGCTTCAGAAAGGCTTCTAGACTCTTACATTCTGTCATTAACCTTACCCTACCTTTCCCCTGATTAACATGGGTAAATCTGAGGGGAAGAACGTGGATACTTTCAGAGCTACAAAAGCCCTTTACACCTGATCATATGACCGACAACAAATGGCTAAATCTGTAGAATTCTACCAAATACAAATGAGGCACACTGACGGGGACCAAGTGGCAGCAGGAGAGATCTAATAACAGAGGAAAGATCTTACTTGTTCTCGTTGTATGCTTTCAAAAAGTACTTCAGAAGAAAGCTGAAAGCCAAGAACAGTGATAATCCCAGCACTCAGGTTGAGGCAGACGATTGTGAATTTGAGGCCAATCTCTGAGCTACAGAAAGACAGACATCCTACAGAAAGACATCCTATAGTCTCAACATAAAACACACAGTTTTGATGCCTTTTAACTACATTTATGACTGCACTGATAGCTAATTTCACAATTCTAATATTTCTTTTTGAAAAATTGAAGGTTGTACATTGCTCTTTTTGAGACAGTGTCTGGTACCGTAGCTCATGGTGGCCTATACTTGAACTGCAGGTGCAAGCCACCTTGTTTCCAAATTAGTTTATTCCGTTTATAATAATGGCTTGTTTATGCTTACATACAGGCTATTTTTATATGGTCCTATTAAAAATAACTTGTCGAGTTCAAGGCCAGCCTGGTCTACAGAGTGAGTTCCAGGACAGCCAGGACTATACAGAGAAACCCTGTCTTGAAAAACAAAAACAAAAAAAAAAAAAGAAAGAAAGAAAGGAAGGAAGGAAGGAAGGAAGGAAGGAAGGAAGGAAGGAAGGAAAAAAGGGGGCTGGAGAGATGGCTTAGTGGTTAAGAGCACTGACTGCTCTTCCAGAGGTCCTGAGTTCAATTCCCAGCAACCACATGGTGGCTCGCAACCATCTGTAATAGGATCCAATGTCTTCTCTTGATATGTCTGAAGACAGCCACAGTGTACTCATATAAATAAAATAAATAAATAATTCTTTTAAAAAAACTTGTCAAACAGAAATCACCTCAGAGATCTCATATTCTGCTCCATCTTCTTAGTACCTCCTCCCCATGTCTCTCCTAGCCTTCGAGTAGTACCTCCTCCCCATGTCTCTCCTAGCCTTCGAGTAGTACCTCCTCCCCATGTCTCTCCTAGCCTTCAAGTAGTACCTCCTCCCCATGTCTCTCCTAGCCTTCGAGAACCTTCAAACCTCATTCCCAACGCCCCCGGCCTCTTGTCTTGACCTCTACTACGAAGAGATCTTCTACCTCATAAATGATGGTCAGTTTTCAAGGTCTCTTCCAACCTTCATCTTTTTAGAAACTCTGTAAGTGTAGCCGACTTGTTCACATTTTCCACAGATTCCTTTTTCAAGCTTGCTTATAGAAGCACGTGCACTGAGAATATCTGATAGTTTGAATGTTGCATCTTCTCTTAAAACCACAATAGCTTCTATAGCTATTGAAGAGCACAGAAGTCAGGCAGGACTCAGGAGAAGAAAGAGCAAAATGGTCACAACAGGTGACTCACTGGTGACACAGCAGGAGTCAGCAGTTCCTTAGGAGAGCAGAAATAATATGTAAATCAAGCACTCTCAAAGTGTGAAACAGAATGTTGGAGGGGATTTTAAACCAGGCTTCTTTGCTTTTTATTTTCTGGAGTGTATTTATTTGCATCAAATGCAGTTATCAGCTTAAATATCATGTGTTCACCATATTAAAGAAAACCTATCTTAACCCTGTCAGGTAACTTAATTTCCTTTTGGACAAGAGACTATGGATGCTCAATTTACTAAATCAAGTCTCGTACAGGGCAAGTGTCTTCAAATCCTTTACAACAACTACATAAATGGATGAACCGGCCATAATCATTCAGAACACTCTTTCCTTATTTTTTCCATGTGTGTGGAGCAGAAGTCCGTGCTTGACACCTGGAGTCTTCTTCAACTGCTCTCCATTTACACACTTACTGCTCTCCATTTACACACTCACTGGGCTCCATTTACACACTCACCGGGCTCCATTTACACACTTACTGCTCTTCATTTACACACTTACTGCTCTCCATTTACACACTTACTGAGGCGGGGTTTCTCACTTGACCTTGGAGTTCACCCACTCAGCTGGTCTAGCTTGCTCGCTTGCTCTAGGGAGCCCGTCTCCGCCTTCAAAGTACTGGAATTACAGGCTGGACACCACACTCACCTAGCATTTACATGGGTCCTGGGACCAGAACTTAGTTTCTCATGCTTGCAAAGCAAGCATTTTCCCCTAGAGCCATCTCTCAAGCTCCAATTTAGCCCACCCTAAAAGTTGATTCATTAGGTGATAAAGGGGCAAAATGGTTAATTTTATGATATATACATTTTACCTCAATTAAACAGAAACTAATGAAAGGATGAGGGAAACTCACCTGTAGCCATGAAGGATTAGAATTGTCTTGTTTGTGCAGCTACAAAACTATACAGAAGACTAACGACTTCAGATATTACACAACAGGCACAGAGGACTGT